AACACCCAACCCAAGAATCCTGCCTCATTCACAACCTTGCAATCCAAAGTGCATACATTTGTAGATCACACCTCTATATTTACAAGCCCCTTTTCTATAACTACTTCTCCTGGAACCATTTGAAAGTCTACATTTGACCCTTCTCCTAAATGCAGTACTTATGGAGAAGTTATGGCTTTCAATTTTATTCCTAATAATCTTGTAGTAAGCCCTAATTCTGATGACCTTCTAAACTTCACAACCTCTGAGGCTTTTCTTCTTCCAAATGCAGAATCTTCTGCATCTCTTGAACAAAATATTTCCCTTATTATCCACTATATTCTACTAAGTCCTAAACCTGACAACTTTCTAAACCTAACTGACGCTGAATCTTCTCCCAGTTCCATAGCAAAATCTTCCACTCTCCTCAAGCTAAACATACCCTTCACCACAAATGCCCAGATGCATTCTCATATAAACCCTAGCAAAACTTTCAAACTACTTAGAAAACTGAATGAGAAAAGACTGAGATACATTCACCATACCACTGTGTTAGGACAGCATTTACAGAGCCAATAACAAACTGTTCTGTTCACAATGGAAGAAAATCCTCCATTCCACCTCAGTTACACTAATGAAACTCACACAAGACTTTTGCAAATCCATAATAGACAAATTGCCGAAATACAAAATCGAGAACAAAATTTTTCCTGCTAAACAATAGAAACTTGATGTATTTATAAAGAAAAAGTCTTTCAAAAATTGTGTGAAAACTAACAATCAACAAACATATCATAAGGATAAAACCTTAATGTTTCTTTACAACAAAATACTAATTTTAAACAAACCCATAATAATACTGCCAATGAGCCTTTGATTAATAACTCTAACAATACAAACACATACATTGAGCTTTTTCCTAAAATAAACCCTACTTCCAACTCCTCTAATTCATTCTGAGCGACCCAAACCCAAGAAAACGTCCAATGTCATCAATCTGTTCTCTAAAATATTAACTAAAACTCAACATAAACTTCTCAGTAAAGGTATCAATTTCTCTCCTATCACTAAAAACATGATAGCTTCAAAGTTATTTCCAACCAACAAGAATTTGCAAGCAGATTAAGACTTTGGGAATTTTTTCAAAATAAAACCACTAAAGCAAATAATTTCAACTCACAGCTTAAAGAAAAATCCTCCTGGTCACCCCAGTCAACAGAGAACCACACTTAGAGAGCTTTATTACTGTAGTTGAGAACAAAATAATTCAAGCCATTAACTCCAATTTACAACTACAAAACAATATCTCCTATAGTGAACATACTGCTCTAATTTCACTAAAATATGACAATGACATTATTATTAAACCAACTGATTGTCATTCAAGACAAGTCTGATTATATCAACAAACTTTACTGACAACTTATGACATAAACCACTCTAAAAATGTAGATTTGCATCCCACCCCACAATTTGTTAAAATCATCAAAGACATGCTAAGTAGCTTACAGAAAAACCAACACATCAGTTGTGAAACTTTACAGTTCCTTTCATCTAAACACCCAGTTCTGGGTTACTTTTACAGGTTACCAAAAATACACAAACCTAACAATCCTAGTCATCCTGTTATATCCAATTGCAGTACGCCTACTGAAAACTTATCTGCCTATGCTGATCACTACATCAAAGATATCCATCCCTCTATGTTTGACATCATACGTTAAAGAAACAACACATTTTCTGAACATGATCTCTGGCATTAACAGTAGCAGAAAACTTCCTCCAAACACTATTTTCTGTCATATGGATGTTTCTTCTCTGTACACAAACATTCCCCATGACAAATGCCTGAAATCTCTAGAATCTTCTCTGATGAAATTAGAAAACCCAACACTCAAACTATTATAGACTTAGCTAAATTTGTTTTTACACTTTGAATTTAATAATGAGTTCTATACTCAAACAAAAGGCACAGTTTTGGGGACCAAAATGGTACCAAACTATGCCAACATTTTTATGAGAGACTTAGAAACAATACTGTTGGAAAGTTGTACAGACAAACCGAATTTTTGCAGATGCTACTGTGATGAATTTATTATTATATATTTATTTTAATATTGATTTTTGTTTAAATTTAATTTATATTTAGAAATGTACATAACTTATACTGTTAAATAAATATTGTGAAACTCTTGCCTATTCTCTAAAGTTATAGAAGAAAACCAAACCAACAATATATTTCTTATGTAAACGCTAGTGTTAGCATCAGTATTGTTACGTAAACTGAAATTCTCCACATGCCTATCAATATAACCAATGTGCCGCACCCAAAAACAGTATCTATTATTGGTATGCTATAAATTTCGGAAGCTATAACTGTGATTGTTATAACACTTATTAATCGAGTAACTTCAGATATTTGATCAGGAACATTTATAAAGTTCTAATATTACAAATCATTTAACTTCAGTGGATTCACATCGGACATCAGTACTTTTACAAAGATATTATATAACTTCAGAGGTAAAAGCAACTCGGCCTGTAATCGGTGTGTGATCAGCAAGAACTACAGAGCTAGCTAGCTCCCTATTAGGTGAATTGTACAAAAGTCAACTTAAAATTAACTTGCTCATCGTGAACCCTCGATAAGATATCAAGGAAGTTCCAGATTAGAAAGAAGACTTTACATTGCTTGTAAGTTTGTAAAACTTTTGTATACAGATCATTGTTTGTAATAACTGTTATTGTAAACTATATTATTGTTTGTATATTAAAATTGTAAAGAAGCCAAGTTAAGTTGAACACTGTGGAAGAATAAATCAAGGCCATGGTGGAAAATAGGTAGGTGTGATTGTCCCCAGTGAAGCTGTTGGGGTCACAACATAAGGCCTACAAAGAATCGTGAAATGTGGACAAACAGAGAAAAAGCTATGCAAGGCTAAGATGAACAAATTGAGGGCAAGAGAATGAGGTAAAACAAAGGAGAAGACAGAGATGTCCAAGCTGGACTGAAGCTTAATGGGGTTCATGAAGTTGAGACAAAACTATAACAGAAGAAGGAAAGAGATGATAGTCAAAAGAAGAAGGAAGCCAACACAGCAAAAGAGCCCAAGATTCATCAAAAAACACTGGAGAAAGAGTAAGAATGTCATATACCTGTGTAAGCAAAGCAGTAAAGAAGCAGGTGTTAGGAACAAAATCCTTAAAAGGTGAGGCAGATTTATCTGAAGGAACAGGGATAGGAGGTCAAGAATCTTAGAACCAAAATTAGAATGGAATCAACCACCTGGTGCACAATGGTGGTAACATTACTGACCATCAGATTATCTCCCATTGCAATCGAAACAGTAGAAAAAGTGGAGTGTCAGGAGCTCAGGAGGTGTCAAAATCATGGCTATGTGAACTGATATTTAAATTAATCTATGACACCATTTACTTTTTTTTTAAAGTAGATCTGGTATGTACATGGTGTGTAGGCCTTGATAATTGACTTAATGATATAAATTTTGATTAATCATCAAACCCTGAACTCTAGGTAAATAATGGTTGGTTGTTTGGTTGTAATTTTTTTGATGCAAAGCAACTAGGCTATCTATGCTAAACACCTGGTAAAAACTGTAAAAGTAAAATTTTTATCAAATGTAAAGATAAATTGATTTAAAACTAAACAAACATCCAAAATGCAAATAAAAGATTTAAATCAAATTAAAAAGGCCAATGGCTTGTGAAAATTTAAAAATACAGTCAAGTTGAACAGTGTCACCATTGCCAATTACACCCTCCAATGTCAGGGCTAAACCCTTAGAAAACAAGTCTAAAATGGTGCCATTGCTTGGAGATGGCACGACAGTCAAATGTGGGCTGTTCTGAATTGAGTGTCTCTGCCCAAGACTTGATGGTCAAAAAGGCAGAGGAAGAAACAGAAGTGCTAGATGCACAAGAAAAGCTCTTGCTGAGAGTATTGGTGATGCTCTGTACATTGGCAACTTCCTGGCCATTGAAAGCAAGATGGAAAGGGGATGGGAAGCATACCCCCCATTGACCTTCTGAATCTTGTCCCATATGACTTTGGAACTGTAAGTATAAGAGATGCTAGTTGTAAACTTAATCCAAGACTCCTTTTGGCTTTGACTTCTGACCTGTTGAGCATGGGCCCACTGGAAAGCAATGCAGTTAGACAGGGTGGGATACCTGAATAAGGTATCCCACACCTGTTTTTGAGCCTTCTGTACCCGCTGGCAGACTTGAAATTACCATGGAGGAGGATACTGTGGGAGACGTGTCAAGGTTTTGGAAATAGAATGAACAGCTGCATGAATGATAAAATTAGTTACTGCCTCCACGCAGTCGTTAATAGATAGCAGACTAATGAAAGCAAGATTGAGTTCTGAGAGAGATCATAAAGAAATCATGTCTCAAACTCTTGAACACGTATCCCAAATTATGTAATTTGATTAAGAGAAGAAATGAAATTAATGGAAGAGAAAATAATAATTTAAATAAGGATTTCTAACTGAAAGGTAACTTTCACAAAAATAAAGGGGAAAAAAACTACAAATATGAATGACAACTAAAAGTTTAAAAGAATAAGTGAAAAAATTCTGTAACTCATAATGAAAAAGCATTTTCTATTAATACACAAGGTGCCCATGAGGCATACTGCATACGAAGAATGTGTCACCCTCCTACTGGTGGAAGGCTATAATATAATACTGATTGCAAAACAGACTGCCACAGAACATGTTAATACATGTAGAGGTGCGAGTTTCATTCAATTTTTTTCAGCAGTGGCATGAGATAAGAGCTATCAGTCCTGTGGATAGGAGAGCAGTTTTGGAAATACTGTTTTATCAGTGCATTATACAATTGAAAATTTAACACTAATTTAAACAATTAAAGTGCTGCTCAGTTTGATTTTACATCTTTTTTTTGTTTTTGTAATAAAATCAAAGGCACACACATCAGTGTCTATTTAAATTGTATTATGTGGTATGGTTTGATATGCAGCAAAAAATTAATACCTTGAAGATTTCCTTCCCTTGGACACTGCATTCAATAAACTTTGGTCTTATACTGATATGCACATCTTTCCCTCGAGTTCCTTCTTCTACAAAAATTTCAATGAATACTTCAGTCACAGTCTGCCACCAACGACCCCATGAAGTCTCACAAGCCACAATACCACTGCGTTCATCAAAGTGTGACAAAGACATCTGGATGGATAAAAAATACACGATGTGGTTAAGCTATAATATCCAGATTAAATAGGTATGTTATTACAAATACATATGGTATTTGAATTACAACAAATGCCTTTATATATGATACATATATATATATTCTTTAATTACAAATGGAAAATTCTCATGTACATTCTCTAAAAAATATATTGTTCCAATGTTAAAAACTTCAACCAGGTTTACATTGCCAAATCTAAAGAAATTTTACATAACACATGAACTATATCACCCGATGTACACTGCCAAATCTAAAATAATTTATACATGAGTATTATACCAACCACATGCTTACTGCAAACTTTGAAGAAAGTTCTATATCATAAAACAAAGGAAATACAACCAAAATACACATGTATCCTGTCTTATTACTGAAGCACACATACATCACAAAGTTCTGAAAACTATAAAAGATCAAGATTTTTCAAAAGTGTGTGTTAGGACTGATGTGTATTGGCTGAGTGAGCCAACTTAACTAGTATTTTTGCTGTTGAGGTATCAAGCAGCTTACAACACCAATTTCTGTTTCATTATGAATTTCTTTACTGAAAATTGAAAACAGTTTAACAATTATGCAAACACATTTTCTTCTAGAGTTAGTATACTTCAGTGATAAGTCTTTTTTTTCTAATTTTCAGAGATGTATAATTTCTACTCTATCAATCGGAACCAGCACTCAGATCTATGTGGATGTGATACAACATTCACTGAAGAACTGATTTTTGGTGTACGATATGCAAGAGAAAGCAATCCTATAATGTCTTAATAAATACTGCAAAACTTTTATGTTTGAATTATTTGCAGTATATAGTATACCATACATCTAATTACATAAATCATTAATAATAATATTTCTATTGGAGTTTTCTGAGGTGCAATGACAACCTTACAGGTAAGAATAATTGGAGATGCAGCAGAAAATGTTACATGTTACACTGAATTTCTCACCTGAATTAGGAGACTGGAAGTGGAAAACAATCTTTATTTACTTTTAGTAGACAAATATGTACAATTCAATGCAGACAAGCACAAACAGATGCAGAGCTGCACTACTTTCTAAGAACTAGAGAAAGTTCTAAATCAGAAATTGTGACAAAATTAAGAGAACTATTATATATTTCTTACAATATGATCAGTTGTCACTCAGGTTAAAATCAGGATAACACAGCACACAAACATTACTAAACTTCTGCGTGAGTGATGCTACTAGAAAAAACTAAAATACCCAACTACAGGATTCTTCAGAAACACCTTCCATGGGAAAGTTCCCAAGGGGGAATAACTTATGACAATATGTGACCAACAAAAAAGTAGGGTTAAGACATACCATTGTCAACTGCATTGCACATCAAATACACATGCTGAAAGTTTGTGGATTGTGTAAAAATCTTGATAAAATAAACCTGTTCAACTTTCCAAGCTAAAAGATAATGAGAGCAAGATATTTTCTTGCATACAACTCTCTTCTTTGTCTTCAGCCTGACCCAACATCCCTAATTTTAAAACCAGTAAAATAAAAAAAACTTTATTGACTATACAAATGCTTTCACAGCACAAAATATAGATAAAGCAAACAAGTAGAACCCTCTAACAAAGGTGAATTCATTATATTTTCTATATTTTACAACACAACTTACCAAAATATAATCATGTAAACATACCTTTAATTTTTACATGATTATACTTTTATGACAAAATACACAGTAAAACATATTTTCAGTTTTACTTAATAACTTGTTTAGAAAAATTCAAAGTAAGTCACTTTTTGAGAAAATTTAAAGTAAAACTTCTTTCTATTCTTGTAGTATGAAGACTTACTATATGTTTTTACCCCTTTAGTTAGAAAGCAAAATTTTTGAAATCATTATGTTTTTCAGAGTTTCCCAGCTGAACACAAGCAGTTGGGTGAAATACTAACTTTAACTTTTATATTTGGATAATAAACATCCAGACCAAGACAGAAGCTTCTAGTCTGGTTCTCTGGCAGGAATAACCATGTTGTTTTTAATTAGCGAAGTGAGTTATTCTTGTCAGTGTGTTAGATATACACAGCTGTTCATTTTAAGAATAATAAGAGAATATTATTTAGTTTATATTGTGTGAGCTTTAAAGTAAGCTATTTTTAGAAGCAATAGTTATGGCAATTTTGCTTACATAACTGTTTACAAATCATTTGTTGAGAAGTGACGTCATGTTACTTGAACTTTCTGAATTAATCTTGTTGCTTTAAGTGTGTATTGTTACATCATAATGTCTTATACTTAGTAGAAAGTGCCATGCTTCAGTTGGGGGAATATATACAGGTTAGTGAAAGTGAACAAAATGAAGTTAGACTGCATGTGAGTTTAGCCATAATGGGCAGTTTCTAAACAGATTTTACAGCTTGTATTGTAATAAGAGAAAGAGGAAAATAATTTGTCAAACTAGCCTGTGTGGACTTTTGACATAAAAGAGAATTATTTAAAGCTCTGGATACAACTGTGGTAACCCACGAGGTAATGCAAGAAAATTATCACTCATTCTATTGTGATAACAGAGTAGAGAAGAAAGCATCCAAAGAATGCCCATGGAGTGCAACTGCTTTTGTTAAAGGAACACACTCATGGCAAACCGCATCCCATCTGAACTAAGTATGCTCTTCGTCTGTTGTGAAGATGTGTCATGAAATCGGACAAAAAAAATCGGATGTGCCCAATGGTGTAGAGTGCCTAGGGCTTATCAGACCATAACAGGCAGGTCAACTTCAGTCCAAAACCAAGCGACATCAGGTATGTATCATCCGGTCTGTAGTAGGAGGAAGATCCTTACCATTATCATCTCAAGACAAGGAAAGGGGAAAACAAGTTTCATTCTGCTATCCTTGTCATGACATGTGTGTGTAGACCCACAACCAATATCAGCCACCTGGGACTCCAACATCCGGGCAACAGTAGGAAGAGGGCTCCCTACCACCACCTAATCCAACACCAGACCACCTACAAACTGACATCCAGGCAGCTGTAGGATGAGGGGTCCCTGCATTTAGTGTTCAACACTATATAGACCAACAGGACACCACCACCCTACTATCAACTGAATGGGATGGAGCACACTCAGGAAACCTCCATGGTCCACCATCCCAACAGCTAGAATCTGGTAAGTGGTAAGGACTCCCTTACTCCACTTGAAACCCTACTTTACTCCTAATAGTCCACGAAGTGGGACAGTCTGGAACAGGCATATTTATGATACAATATACAGCAAGGTGAACCTACTAGCAGTGTTGCAGAACCCCATCTTAACAGTGGGTGTTATAAATCTTAAAAATCATACAGTGCAGATTTGGGGGCTGGTCCAGCTCCTTTTCATAACCAGACCACCAGAGAACCAAAATCCAGAAGATGGTACAATGGGGGTGCCCCAGCCAAATAGTATACCTGGAAAGGCACCACTCACCACAGAGTGGGATCCAATAGAGAAATTTTCATGACCCTGTAATGGAAATAAAAGAATAAAAAATTAAACCCATTCACAATTGAATCGATGTGTGGAGTATGGCTATATGTGATATTCAATATCCAGGTGAGGAGGAAATAGCCATATGATGCAGGTAATGGGAGATAAAGGTGTTCAGCATGGTCCACAGCTCTTATCAGTCATACCCGAACACACACACACACTCGATAATTTGATCAATAGTTTAGTGTATTATAGTTGTTATTTTTATTGTTAATTGTACAAGTGAGTAAACATTTGTTCTTTGTGTAAATCTGCATTTTGTCTCTTCCTTTGTAACTGTGCTTCAAATAATCAGGAAATCTACACCTAATCCAAGATCCTTCAGTTAGCAGGCTTAACTTCTCCGATTTGTTGGTTATCTGCAAAATACCACATTTATTTAATGCTATGTTTAGGAATATTCAAGTTAAACACTTTTTAACTGAATGATAATAAAGTCATATACACAATATTTCACCCTTAAAATTAGATAATACAACTAATAATTTTGTAAAGTTAACAACATAACATATGGACAACAAGGGACAATTTGGTCCTTTACTGCTGTCCTTGTACCTACCTTTGAGAATAGTAATACTTTACACCCAACCTTTATATCTCAGGATGTCATCATAAACTACTGTCTTAACTGGAGGGTTGTAGGTCTTTTCCAAATCTTAAACTTCTATCCTATCACACCCCTGGATAATCTTATAAGCTTCAATAAGATCACCTCTTATCCTTCTTTTTTCTTAACCTACCTCTGTAAGATAACCCTTACATCTACAAGACCATCATATTAGCCCTCTTCTGAATTCTTTTCAAAAAATCGATATATTTTCTTAGATAAGGAAACCAGAACTGTACACACTATTTCAAGTGATTTATTTAGAGGTTAAGTCTATGTCCATAATATTTCATTTTATGAATGAAATAACGTAATGACAAGTATGTGAATTACCAATTATTAAGAATAAAGTCTATATTTTTCTGTATACAAGAAACTTAACAAATAAAAAATAGAAAAAATGTTGTATGTTTACACCCAAAGTAGGATGTTACACATCTAACAACAGGCTTTCCAAGGTGGCTATGAACTTATAGCTAACTATTGTCAATTTCTGTATCATTTCATTTGCCAGATTTCTCTTGGTTTTCATGAGCTAAGCATGAGCCTGGCTACCTTGAATTGATTGGATTCATTAAAGTCATTCCCTTATCTTGTTCTTATTTGTACAAGGTCCAATCTCCATCTACTTAGCTACCTGGGCCTGGCAGTGTTGTTTTGGGTAAACTTTCTGCTGTAGGATGTTGTGGACTAGATCAGTGATTAGAACTGTTGTCCAAAGCTCCAAATGTGCTTCTCCAATAGTGGGGTAGTGAAGAGGAGGAAGTAGACTCCCATTACATTTATGTTTGAGGAGGGGATGGTTTGGAAAGTGTATGGCCTTCCCAGGGTTTCTTGTATAACTTACCAAACTTTATCTCTAGAAAAGTCTTAATGGGTTTAGGTATGTAGTGTTTCCTCACAAGATCCAATAGGACATTTCACTGGAATGTGCTGTCTACTTTTCTTCTTTCTTTTATTTACCACCTTGATATAAAGCTGCATCTTAGCTGCCATAGTTGGTGGTACCGCTTGCATTACTGGGTTCCAAAGGGACAGCGAAAGAGTTCCCAGGTAGTTCTGGATCTGCTATGGTCCTGGACTGGAGGTGCTACCAATGTTGGGTAGACCTTGGGAGACTCCTCCAACCCCAGGGCTCTACAAGATGCTGCATGTATATGTCTCAACTGTTAGCCAACATCAAATCTTCATCTACAATTTATCCTTTAGCTATTGAGAAGTCTAAGTCTTTCTCAGAAAATCTTAGAATAGTCCTCAATTTCACTGAAATCACCAATTAAGTATTCTCCTTCAATAATGAGAACATAGGGTGGTTATCAATAAAACGAAATTAACTGGAACCTTTAGTAAGTCCAGTTCAAAATAAGATAACCAGAAGAGTTGAGAATGTTACCTTGTACAGAAAAAGTCAAGATTGAAAATACTTGGTCAACTTGGTTTTTGATTAATCATAAAATCAGCAAGATATGTAGATTTGAAAGATATAACATCGCAGTTACAACTATAAACTATTCTAAAAGCAGAATTTAGACATGCAGTGTCAAAATTATTGCCCTGATAAAGTGCCACTTCTACAGGCATATTTATACAATCGAAGAAAATTTCTGTAGAAAATGGCTTCCAAGCATTTGTGAATGCCTGTGTCCAGCAGGCTTCACATGGAACATACACTTGGCTATTATACAGCCATACTACTGTTTGGTTGTTAAAGAAGCAAAGCATGATTCTGATGAGAAAAGATGGAGATTAAACTTACGTACAGGTTCTTATGAAAATAACTGAAATCAGAATAACCACTGAACAAGCACCAGCATCTAGCTCCTGACTGTGAAAATCCATTAGCACAACAAGTTAATTTCATAGAACTTTTTATCCAATACAAGCAGAGAGTACAAGATGAAGCAACTACAAATTAATGTTGCCCAGATGTTACACACTGATTCAAACTACACAATCAAAATATCACATGTTCCATTGCACCCCCAGAGCCCACTGAATGGGACACATAGTCAGGTAGATTAGCATGAAAATAGTGACCTGCTGGAACAAAGCACCACATCTGGTATACTCACCCTTCGGGATGTAACAAATGATATTAGAAGAGGTGCCACCTAATATTATGCCTTTGATGTCCCAACAGCCCAGAAGAAGCCCTTTGTGGTGTAAACGTTAAAAAGAAACTAATATCTGAAATAGTTGTTTTAAATTTAAAGTATACTTCACCTCATACTTAAGTCTTACATTAATATATTAATGAAATTGCAGGAAATATCAGTAAGCAAAGCTTCTTGGAGTTAGAGTCAGGGGTAGTTTAATGGGTGTCTACAAGAACTTGAAGAAAGTGTGTGAATTTTATGGCCATTTTGTTTGGAGGAGGAGATTTTACAACAGAGGATAATAACTTGTGACTTTTGAAGTGCTGACAGGGCACTTTATGAAAAACTGTACAGACAATTTGACTGCCAAGAGTGGCCTGAATGGAAACGATTTTTGAGGTTTTGTATGGCTAATAAATTTGATAAAGAAGAGGATGCCTGCAATGAGAGCACAAGTAAAAGCTTCCACTGTTTCATTGATGAAACAGAGCCCTTTTCTGAATAACATTTTTGCTCTTACAAATGATTCTCATGAGGAGAGTTTTAATGCTGTTATAGAAAAATTTCAGGATCATT